GTGTGTGTGTGTGTGTGTGTGTGTGTGTGTCTGTACTGCACGGCAAAGGAAAGCACTGTGTCCTCAGCAGGAAAAAGCAAAAGCTGCTGCCAGGGCAAAGCTGGTGGGAAACTTACAGCACAGACAGTTGGCCTTGATTGTTTGTCCATATTATCCAGCAGCAATGCAAATTATATTATTGAGTCACAGCGGAGGAAAGTCTAAGTGAACGTAATGAAATGTTCTCTTTTTCCCTTTGGTCGTCTTCAGCCGCTGCACATGTTGGAAACTTACTGCTAATGATCCACAGAACGTGAGGAACTCTGCGTGACATTTACATCTAATCCAAAATAAATACATTTTAAACTGGAGAGGGAATTCACAACAGCTATATTTGTAGTGTGTGGTGGTGAGGTGAAAATCTGTTATATGATTTGTTGTTGATCCATTTATCATCTATACTGTTTATCCTTTGAGAGTTGCAGTGGGTACCAGAGTATATCCCAGCTGACATGGGGCAAGAGGCGTTGTGAACCATGGACAGATCGCTAGGGTATCACCAGTCCATACAGAGACAAACAAGCATTTACACTCATATATGGACAATTTACAGTCTCCAATCAACATAACCCCAATCTACATATCTTTAGACTGTGGGAGGAAGCTGAGAAAAACCACGAAGACATGAGGAGAACAAACTCCACACAGAAAGACCCCTTTTCCAGTCAAAGTATTCCTCCTTTGCAGTCGTCATTTATGACGAAAAAAACTGCCAGTCGACCTCCTTTCCACCTCTATATAAATAGATGGATGGATGGTTGATACCTGTAAGTCCTGGTGGTCCGTTTTTCCCCAGTTTCCCTTGATCTCCCTCCTCTCCAACCTCGCCTTGGTCTCCTGGATTAAAAAGAAGAGCACTGTAAAAGGGCTTTTGTCCAAATCCAAAGTGATAAACATACTATGAGAGAGCACATTCCTCATGTCGACATACTGTAAAGTACAGTGTGTAGCATTGTGTAAAACTCTTTGTCTTCCCAGTGTCACAGAGGTTAAATCTTAATATTCCCAGTAGCATGCATGGAGCGTCCGAGCCATCACAGGATGATGATACGTTAGAACAACTGTCAGATAGCCAAGAGCTACTCTTGCACAGTTCTTTGTTTATGTATCAGCTTCATTTGTGGGTTTGGATGTACATCATATAGTAAGGTTACTCTGAATCATTTGTAAATAACTTTGACTTTTCATATTACATTTTAACACACTGCAGCCAATATCATTTTCAAAAGCATGAAGTGATGATGCAAAAATATTAATAACATAACATATTTTTCAGAGTTGAAAACATTGGAGAAAATCTCTTGTGGCTACAAGAAGTGGAGAGATCTTGGCAAAAAGATTCTATCAACTACAAACCTTTTCAACTAAAACTGCGAACATGATCAAATATATTGTTGCAGTTATTTAACATTAGTGAGGCGATATTAGAAATTAAATGAGAAAAAGCTGATAAAAAGTCTATTCTCATCAAACTGACTAAAAAGTGACCTGACAGCATCAACATTCTTCCATTGCAAAGCATAATATGACAGTAAATGTATTTTAAAAAACACTGACCACAGTACCAGTAAATGCAATAAAAGTTGGTTTGCTCATAAGTTACGTGGACATTTTTTTTGGGGGGGGGGGGGGTATGAAACATAGAAACATGCACATCCGACACCCACTCAGATACACAAGAATACTCACACTGACTCTGTGGTCACTCAGCGTCTAGGATGAGTCTTGTATAAATAATCAGTTCAGTTTAGTGGCAGCTGTCTAAATACACACTCTCACAATGGGACTTTCTTACCATTACAGACTACAGGAAAGATGACAGCAAAAGATGACAACAAAATAAATCATGCACACACTCACTTCTCAGGGAGAGGATGTGATGTTAATGTTTCCTACCAACACAAACACTGGACTTTAAACTTCAGTAATTACTTGTGTAAATTAACATTTGTCCCATTCGAGCGGAGGAAATGTGTTTTTTTCTACGTTCAGAGAATTGAAGTGTCCCATCGGAGGCCATTTTTTGTTTTTGCGTGACAGACCTCCATTCTCAGTTTCAGTAACATCCCTTTAACTTTCTTTTTTAAGTGATGTTTTGTGAGAACAGAGTAGAAAGAAAAAAAAAACGTGGAGCTGAGCTCGACTGTGTGTTTTATTAGGTCTGTCTGTCTGAATCAGCAGGGGAACCAGCTACTGGATGTCATAAAATAAGAAACACACACACGGAGAGGCTTTCCCTCCCAAAGACTATGGGGGAGCAGACTGCGAGCTAATAAACTACAGGACATTACATGCTTGGTACCTTCATCATCAGGTCTGTAAAACCCTTCAGAACATTAGGGGTAGTTCCTCACTATTTTCCACTCCACGTTTCATTAGGTTGCATGTAAAGCCAATGACAATATCAGTTCCAACGTCAGTTTCAGTAACACCTGTATATATTTACAGTGTGGTCATAGATTTAAATTGCCTTATCTCAAAACTAAAATAAAAGCCGCAATCATCCAAGAACCCAAGCAGCATATACAGTAAGTATAGGTATTTCACTGTGTCGTACATTTACAGCTGTACCATTATTTTACTCACATTTATTATATCATATGGACCTGTGGGATCAACACAAGCAGTTTATAGTAAACATTATCACACAGAAACAGACACACACTCAGGAACGTGTTACCTTTTGCTCCAGGCAGAAGGGAATTGGAGCAGACCTCTGGAGAAGCAGAGATGGAGTTGAATGCGACCACACACACGCAGAGCTCCAACAGTCTCATATTGCATATTTTCGCCATCATCTCCCAATCGTCCCCGATGAAGATCCCCAACTTTATTTTCCTTTTAGCAGGTAGATGCTAACACCAACACATCAGCTGTGTGGAGTGTGTCTATAATGCAAAAAGAGATGGTTTTAACTGCAGGAGCAGAGGATCGGAGCTTCACTAATGAGCAAACACACTGCACAGAGGATCAGATCTGTTTGGAGAACACACACACACACACACACA